GAAACCACGAGCCCTCTGGCCGATCACGTCAGACAGATCGGTGGACCGCACTCAGGAACCGGAAGCACGCTTCCCTCGGTCTACGGCCCGATTCCGTACAGTCAGTAAAAACGCACCCATACGTTTCCACGAACAATGAGTATATACATATGCATATGTACAATATATCTATCTTGTATCTTATGTATCAATCGTGTCGGCCTAATACCGTTATATCCATTAGTTTTTCGTTGATTCAGATTTTAATTTGAATTTTTAAATTTGCCACCGTACCTCGATAAAATTAATAATAAGAACGGGGAGAAAGAAACATACTGAAAAAAAAAGAAAAAAAAAAAGAAAATAAAATAAAAGAAAAGAAAAAAGCATTTCTCCGTCGTTCTTTTCGTCGTCGTGACTTTTCTTTTCTTTTCTTTACACTTATAAAAAAGTTATTTCACGATAAGAAATATATATCAAACTTTTGATTCGCGTGTTAAAACCATCGGCTTGGAATCTTTTATGTGGGAAACGCAAGTACTTTCTAAGATCGTTCTGAAACTTTTCTAGGCAAACTTCTATTAGATAATAACGTACATATATATGTTTACTTAGGACGTTCACAAGTTTTCTTTTTTTGCGATGAGAAAGAGCGAGTGTGTTATATCCTATATGTTAACTGCGCTTGCGCGAATAAGATATTCCCCGGCAAAATTGGCCAGTAGTGACGTTTGCTTTATCAGTCGCATCATCTCCGTGCATCCAAGCGAATGTACGCGTTAGCCGATTGACAGATTCGCATTTTCGTGTCATTGAACTTCGTGCCAGTTGACATAGACGATATATCGATTTGATTTCTCGAATGAAAATCGCTCGATAAAACGAAATGAAAATATTTTTACAACAACCCGTCGTCGAAACCGATTTAAAAAGTAAAGCGTAATATCTCGTTTCTATATCGATTTTATTAAAATTCATTTACTTTTCATGATCAATGTCAGTTTAATAAATTGGAATGTTTTAATCAAGGAAATAAGAAATGTTTTCGTCTTAAGGGCTTTCAGTTTCTTCTTTTCTTCTTCTTCTTTTTTTTTTTTTTTTTTTTTTTTTTTTTTAATCATTGCTTTCCTTTTCTTTTTTATTTTTATTTTTGTTCTCGATATACTTACTATATGTAAATACATAAATGATCGCGAACGTTCAAATATTCATTTAAATATTTTCCTTATATTAACTCATTCCTTTCTCATGACATAACGAAGCCATATGTTTCCGAGTTAACCGCTTAACAAGTTACGACCTTAAAGTAGGTCATTCTGGCGTTATCTTTTAGATCCGATTTTTTTTTTCCTTGTTTTTTTTTTTTTTTTTTTTTTTTCATTCTTTTTCTTCCGCCATTAAATTCTTCCTCCACAAATTTGTCATGGGATAATAATATTATAATGTTAAAGTATAATTTACAATCGTAATTTGTCTAATAAAGGAACAATAAAAGAGGGATAAAAAGAAAACTGGAAATATAATTTATGTAACAACGAATCTGTAAAAATGATTTTAATTATTTAATCTTATGGAAATAGAATCTCCGAGGCGCTATGTGGAAGGCGAAGTAACGATTCATTATCGTTCGCCAGTACGCACAGAAGCGAAGGAGCCCTTGAGCGAGGAAGAACTTGCAAGAAGAAGCGCGGAAAATATGCGACGTGTTTATCAGGAAGAAAGACGTCGGAAATATCTTCAGGAATTGCACGATATAGATTCTAGAAGACATACGGACAATTTCATGTGAGTCAATATAAATATTTCATTGAGTAACATTTTTTTTTTTAATGAGACGTCATGAATTTCGCATTTGCATAAAATTCTATACGATACTAAAAATAAACGCAGGTGTCAGGTAATTGAATATCGTACGAGTCTTACGATTTAGCATATATATATATATATATATATATATATATATATATATATATATATATATACATATGTATGTTTTATATGGAATGTATTACAATATATAAAATTAATCGATTGTATTGATCTTTTATTTATTTATTTTTTTTTTCATTTATTTCTTTATTTATTTATTTCATTTTTCTTCTTTTTTTTTATTTAGACCGTCACAAAAATCACCGATTCCGTTAAATCGTTACGATGACTTCGTGGATGATCTTAGCCATAGAAGCAGATCACAGGAACAAACTCCGGAGCCACGATTACTGGCAAGAGCTCTTTACAATTTCGTTGGACAATCCTCTCGCGAATTGACTTTCCGTCGTGGAGATATAATTTTTGTTAGACGTCAGGTTGATAAAAATTGGTACGAGGGTGAACACAATGCAATGGTCGGTCTGTTTCCCTTTAACTACGTCGAGGTAATAACATGACCTAAATTAAAAGTTACGCAATACGGCAATAATTCATCGATCAATTTTTAACCGAACGTGCTTGTCCAAGCAGATTTTACCTTACGATGGAATGAGAACTACACCGAAGAAACCGTACGAAGGACAGGCACGCGCTAAGTTCAACTTCGTGGCGCAGACCAATCTGGAATTATCATTGGCCAAGGGTAAACTCATAAGTTTCTATTATCGTACTAATATACGAAAGATATTGATGTTTTTCTTGAAAATAACGATTGGTTCTTTTCTTGTTTCTTCTTTTTTTTATTCTTTTTTATTTTTTCTAATTTTTTTTTTTTTTTTTTTCTTTTCTTTTTTCTTTCTCAGGTGAACTTGTAGTTTTGACTAGAAGAGTTGACGAAAATTGGTACGAAGGACGAATCGGTAACAGAAAGGGAATATTCCCAATTTCTTATGTCGAAGTTATCAGTGAACCTGGACTTAGATCAGGTAAAATTTTATATAAAAATCTTTATTAAATTTGATTGACTACGAATCACGTTTCTTATTTATATAAAATTAAAAAAAATTTTTTTTCCTCAGAGACCCCAGTACAAAACAAACCAATCGCATCGCCGGCAGCGCATAGTCTTTTAGCCAATGGATCAGCTGGTGGGAAGATGAGTATGGGTCCTCATCATTATGTGCCGTCTATACCGGTTAACATGAACACAACACAGCCCCACTATAATTCACTGGTGAGCGAAAGTTTTCAATCGATTATTTAATCGTTTCTCTTATTTACATAATCAAATATATTTGTTATAATTTTCATTAAAGCCACGAATGGGAGGAAGCAAGCTGCAGGTATCTCATATCAACGAAACATTACATATAGACACGCACTCTGAACCAGTACCGTAAGTTTCTTTGTGAAAATTTTAATACACATTTCTATTAAAATACAATGGAGAGTTAGAGAGCGAGAATTAAAGAGTGAGTGAGCATGTGTATATACGTATGTGTATGTGCGTGTGAGAGAAAGAGAGAGAGAGAGAGAAAGTGAAAAGAAGAAAACGAAAGAATTAAATCGATTTGTTTAATTTGCCAGATATCGAGCACTGTATAACTACAGACCACAAAACGAGGACGAATTGGAGTTGAAGGAAGGCGACACGGTCTATGTAATGGAAAAATGTGACGATGGATGGTATGTTGGTTCTAGCCAAAGAACTGGCTATTTTGGCACCTTCCCAGGCAACTACGTCGAAAGATTATAAATTTGTATATTGGGAGAAAACATCAAGAGTTTCTAATAACCAAAGAACCGGCTATTACTATGTTGTATTAGAAAATGAACAATTTTCTTTCTCTTTTTTTTTTCTTTTTTTTTTTTTTTTTTTTTTTTTTCATCATTCCTTCCGCCGGTTTATATCCCGAGCTTACAATAATGAGTGTGGTTATGCAGTTAGAAAGAAAAGAATTTAAAAAAATAAAAAACAAAAAAAAAAGAGCTAAACAAAACTAAAGGATAGGCTAGGAACAACACGACAGTCTTCCTTTATATTGTTTCAATGTGTATATAAATAATGTTCTTCCTACCGATCTAGTGAAAATTATAAGCAAATTGTTTGAATGCGAGTCGGCGGTAGTGGGGGGCAATAAAATTTTGCAAGAATATATATACACACATATATATGTATATATATATCGTATATACATATATCGTATACACATATATATGTATATATATATATGTATATATATATGTATATATATATATATATATATATATATATATACTCTTGTATATCGAAGCCGTAACAATCACGCATACGTATAGGATTTGTAATGTCCGAATTTTACCAAAAAATTTAATCTCTTAGAAGCCTATTGAAAAAAAAGGGCATAAATGTAAGTAGTGTATAATAACGATTAATAATTTATTATGTTATGATACATTAACTTTATTCTTAATTATTATACGAAAAGAAAATGAGCACGAAAGAAATGTCCACTTTCTAATTAATTCTATGGTAAACTTTTTATTTAACGATATCAGCTAATTATATAGTAGAAATCGAAAGTGGTCATTTCTTTTGATATTTCTTTTATGTTTGTTTTCTTTTAAACGAGATCATTGTCGTCTCGGAACGACAAAATTGTTTCGCGTTTAAAATTTTGAAATTGTAATTTCGCGTATTTTATCGAAACGAGGAGTTTCCGTCGAGCCTACTTCCATGTAGTATCCGAAATACGCGCAAGTATGAAACAACGAATGCTTCGTTGAAAAAAAAAAAAAAATAAAAAATAAATAAATAAATAAAAATAAAAAAAACACTTGCGCCAATATCGAGTCTTTCGAATATCATAATAAAATTAAACGATATTTTAATCGAGTGTCATCTTAATTTACGAACAACGTCGCGCTCGTGCGACGATCGATTTTTCCACGATCGTACACGATGATCTCGAGGAATGGAAAAATGACGAAAAGAAAAAAAACAACAAAAATAAATTAAAAAAATAAAAAAAAAAAGAAAAAAAAATAAAACGAACGACGATTGAGTTTTAACGATTTTAAGAGAAAAGATAAGAAAAAGGAAAAAAAAGAAAAAGGAAAAAGGAAAAAAAAATAACGAGAAAACTAAAGTCACCCTATAATTTCAAGATTATAGATAAAAACGATTCACGTTATTGTTACATTTGCAAGTATTTAAAAAGTAATGGCTTATCATTGAAAGTTTGCCTTCCCAAATTAATATTTTTGTAAAGATTATTTGTACCTAGAATATTATGTGTATATATAATAATATATATATATATATATATACAAACGCGTACAGTTACGATACGTTCAGACATGATATATCAAATATAATATATTATATCCAAATATATCATATTATATAAGTAAACGATTCAGCGTATACACACGTGGCGTTATTATTACGAATCCATAAATATGAGCGTGTCCACGTATATATATACATACATACGTACATATATACAAGCATAAATACACGCTTACATATATACATAAACACGATACGTACATAATCACACGTAGACGCGTTAAAAAACTGACAATTAATTTAACTATAAACAACCACAGATATCGTATAATATTCACAACTATTAATTAACTGCATGCAAGCACGACAATGATGTCGTTAATTTAGACGCCCCTTTGCCATGACAGTACGAGTTCTTTAACTTGTAAGCTTAGTTATATAAATGAAGGTAATTAAAGTTGGAAATCAGACAATACTTATTATTACGATATTATAAATCCATAGAGAAAAAGAGAGAGAAAGAGAGAGAGAGATAAAAAAGAAAAGAACAAATACCTAATAAGATCGATCATTCATAAAAAAAAAAGAAACGAATGATCGATAGATCTTTCCATAAAAACAAAAGAGGAGTGCTTTTCATGGTTTTTCGGAAAGTTCACGAGCTTCTAGTCAGTAGCATATCTTTTACTGGCTTTTTCTGTACGTCTACATTTTACCTTTTACACGTCTCTTTAAATCAGGTTAATATATATATATATATATATATATATATATATATATATATATATATATATTCAATTAACATATCGAATTGATGTCAGATAAGTACAAGAATACATTTCGTGTCCGAATGTACGAGACGATTTAATTGATCAAGCTAAACGAAGTTTTTATTTACTTAATAAGAAATCTTTCGTCAAAAAACAAAAAAAAATATATATAAGAGAGATTGGTATATATATATATATATAGCGAACGCGTTGTTTTCATTCATTTTAGATGAGGATTGGGGGAAAAAATGATTCGATAGTAAAAAAGAGAAAAAAAAACGATAGAAAAAGAAAATAGTAAAGAACGATCTGAGGTAAATATTTTTATTGTAGTGTATATTTCTCATTATATGTAACGCTATAACATCTTGCTTATATGAGATTTCGTTTTATTAAATCTTTCATTTGCACCAACGATGTTATCATTATGTATACTTTGGATACGAATAAAACCTAGTCCATTATTGACGTTAATCATTTAAGCCAACGATTCAAGATAGTATACAGAATGAAATTCATATTTAAACGCATTATAGTAAAAAAAAAAAAAAAAGGAAAAAAAACCCTTAAGAATAGATTATTTTATGAAAAAAAAAAAAAAAAAGAAAAAAAATGATCTTTACGTTGCATTATATTATGGTTCCTCTTGATCACAGTTCTGATTTTTAGACGGATATGAATCCTATAAAAATTAACAATTGATTTAATATTTGTCGAAAAAAAAAAAATAGATTATGTCTACTCAATCCTACTTTGTAAATACTTACGAAAACTTAGTCTACGATTATTCCTTCCCTTTCTGAATGAAATATCCTTTTGCGTATATGTAATTGTCAAGGTCAAGTGATGTCACAACTGCAATAGATAAATAATGTTAACTTATTAAATGACATCGATTTTTATAAAAATTCCTGTAAACATTCGAATTACCTGATGTATTCTTCATTAATCGTTGTTTCTAAAACCATATATATGTACCAACTAGATACTATCTGCGTTATAAGAACAAGCAGTTGAATTCTCTGAATTCTCCTAAATCGCGATTCTCGTAACACAAGAAAAAAAAAAAAGAAAAAAAAAATAAAAGAAAGAAAGAAAAAAGAAAAAAGAATCGAATCTAAAATATTACTATCAACAATTTTAACAGGCTATCCTATTACATTCTTGCTCAATAATTGGTCGTTGATGATCCACACATAAAGAAGGTCTCAATATAATCCTATAAGCTTCCAATTCATTACTACTAATTATTTCACTCTCATTATAGGAAGAACGTACGCAATGAAGTTGGCGTGTTTGAATACCAAAATGTCCACAGGTAACAGAACATGTTTCCCATGGTCCTGGTAACCACTTGTAATCGCAACTAGAAAATTATTCGTTTTAAATAAATTCATCATTTATAAATTAATTAATAATTATCTATGTATCTATAAATGTTTATATATTATAGACCGATTGATTAATATATTGACGATTATGAATAACAAAAACATTGACAATAATAAATTTTAACGTTGGCTCTTTTTAAATGATTTTGCTATTATACATATACGTACAATATATATATATATATATATATATATATATATATATATATATATTGTACGTTAATATTTACCTTTGTATGTTACAGGTTTCCATTTTTAAGAAAGGCTTGGAAAGAAATGCACATTTCCTTCTGGAAACGATTCTTCCAGTTTTATCATCCTTACAAACAATCATTTTCCTGCGTATTCCTCCTCCACAGCTGACAGAACAAAAATTCCACCCACCCACTGACCATAGATATCGTTTGTCTGTATTTCTTTCATTATGATTTATGGAATACCGTGAAGATACAGCGATCGATGTACCTGATTTGACGACATCTGTCGGTACTACGAACTGTATAAAATGATGAAAATCAGAAAGAAAAGGAAAAAAAGGAAGAAAAAGAAAAAACAATAAGAACATCTGTTCCAATACTTTCGTAAAGTATAATACTGATCGTAAATTTCGTTTGAAAAAGAAAATGAAAAAGGATATTCAATTATTTTTTTATACCGATACGATGACATCATCCAGAGCTATCCCTCTCGTCTTTATGGCATATTTGTTATTACTAATTATTTGAATACGAAAAGCAATACCCTCGACTGCCAATAACTCATGACCTTTTGTATTAAAATCGTTTACTTTGTGCCGCCGTCTTTTTCCATCCATTATAACAAAAGTTGTACTAATTTTATCGGTAAACGATGTTTTCATTATAGTAACATTCACTGCCATGTTAATACCATTGCGTGGTAATACAGCTACACGTGTCATTGCTGCAAGTAGATATTTGCTCTTATATATATATATATATATTTTTTTTTTTTCTTTATTTTTAACTGTAAAAGCCAACGAAATTAATGTCAACGATAATTTATTATTATTTAAAACGTGTTAAATTAAATATTAATTTGTTCATCATAGCTCGTTATTTTCAATAATATTTATGGATTATTTTAAACAATAGAGCTATTATTCGATTCAATGTAAATATTTATTTTCAGGAAACAATTTCGTACGTTCAAACAAATGATTGAATCGAATTACTAATTGATTATCTTTAGGATAGGAAGATATTGAGTTTGGGAATTTTGTGTGGACGATATATCTCATAAGATCTAACTCTTAGCGAATAGTAAACTAATTATTCATGTTTCTCGGTCACTTGGAGTGAAACTTGTAGTATTCTCTCTCTCTCTCTCTCTCACACACACTCTCTTGGTGAAAATTCAATTTTAACCAGAGTTACCATAACTAACCTCGGCGAAGTTTACGTTGAAACTTGTTGACAACATGGTCGCAATCAGTATCATTGCCATTGCAAGTACCACAACTATCCAAAATCTTTTCCGAATTGAAAACATTATCGCAACCCATTCTCCTACATTCACCCTAAAAAAGAAAAGGAATATTAATTCGTTATTTCGAAATTCACACAGTTTGTCCTTCCTCGATCTCTGATAGATAATGAAAGTTTCCCTTCGTTACCTGAATACAAATATCCGTAGAACCGTAGGAACAAGGAGTGCCATTCATTAGGTTCTTCCCGCTATAAAAAATTTCTCCGGTCTCTCTGCTACGGCAAATCAATCGGCATTTTAACTCATGTTCCTCGGGCTCGTAAGCCAACCAGGTCATATTTACTTTAGATGATATTTCTTTATAATCTAAAATACCGATCAGTCTTGAACATTGCTGAGCACGAAGGTCAACATTCGTCGTGCATTTAGCTGACTCGCAAATTTTGCAATCGTCGCTCGGACCGATACAATATTTCCCACCGTATGCTGGTCTACAATAACGTGATCGTTTATTTATTTTTTCTTTTTTAATTCAAAAAAAAAAAAAATAAAAAAAAAAGAAAGAAAAACATATGCACGATAAATCCGTTTACCGTGGATTGTTGCACGAACGTAATCTACATTGGATACCAATGCCACATGTCCTGGTACATTTGTTCCAAGAGCTCCAAGCACTCCATCCTCCATTTCTTGGATTATAAAATAGTGGCTCTAAGTTCGATCTTTCCCGGTCCATGGATTCGCAGCGGCCGTTTATACACCACTGTAAAAATTAATTATCCTAATTGTAATATATAGATAAGCAATAGGTTATAATTAAACTTTGTTATACGTTTATCTTACTTTATTTTTTCCACAAAGAGTACCTTCCATCGGTGGTCCCTTTTTAGTTTTGCAAGCTTGAGAAATATTAGAATTGCCACACCATAAACGTGAACATGGTTCACGAATTTCAAAACTTTTACAAAGGTGATAACTAACGAATGAACGCAAGATTAAAAAGTTGATCGATATATTTTCATAGTTGTTTCTTTGTTTCTTTTTTTTTTGTTTTCTTTTATATTAATGTTAACTTACCCTTGACCAAATTCCACTCGACATTGTTCATCCATTGTAAACATTTCTTGTATGTTTATATTCAATCGTGTAGTGTTATTGTCGTTCGGTCGATTCAATAAACAGGACCACTGTCTAGAATAGTCGAGTCGATTCATTAGTTTGTGGGATGTTACAGTGTGGGGTACAATGTGTATATTACGCTGAACAATAAGAAATAAGTAATTTACAACGTTACTTGACTTTTCGATGGAATTCTTTCTTGGAACATGTAGACCAATAAAAATGATGAAAGGTCGCAGCTACCATAGGAGCCATTACGCTACCAAGAGATGCTTCTTCGACGCAAAAATTTCCAGCGGTTTTATCGCCATCATGAGTCAAGCCTAAGCTATTTATGCATGTATGTAAAAAATCATTTTTAATTTGTCTCACTTTGTTTTCTTTTTTTTTTTTTCTTTTCTTTTTCTTTAAAAAACAGATAGAAACCAATAGGTTTTAATTAATTGTATATATACATATATACATATTTCTTTATATAAAAGATATTTTTATAAATCTTTCGAATGATAATAATTTTACTAACATGTGCGCTACTTCGTGAGCTATGATAAAAGCACTTGTTAAACCTTCATCTCGATTCAAAGTACAAGATCTCGCAGGATTGCAAACTCCCGATACAGGAGCATATCCTGAAGGACCACCGATGTCCAAACGAGTTAGCCATATTGCTATGTCGTGACTGTCCTTTGATAAGGACAAGAGCTTTCGATTCCACTTGTTGACATTCTCTAACGATCTCTTCGAGTTACCATCTTGAATCTACGTATGGAATACTGATATCGTTAGAATTCAATATGATCGATATATATACACATATATAATTAACATTTCGAGAATATATTAAGTAGAAGAACCATTCAAATTTAAATGATCTTACCAAACTGTCCTTTTTTTCCTTATAAAGGATTACACGAGCAACAACGAGAATCATATTCGAGTCGAGAGAAGGATCTCTAAAAATGGCACTGACCTGAAAAATTTTTTCCATTTTAAAATATCGAACGTTTACTGTCAATTTATTTTTTTTATTTTTGAATTATTAAAAGATGATAAAAATAAGAGTCGCATTTCAATGTTTGTATATCTCTCTTATAAACTCGATTATATATAATCGACAGTTTTTTTTTTTTTTTTTTTTTTTTAATAAAAATTAAAAGTTTTCTTTAGCCATATCATAATCCTATCTGTCTCTCCTTAAGCTTTTCAGTAAGTAAATTGCTAATTAATACGGGGAATTACGTTTCGCTTAAACTCGTTTCTACTTTCGTCGTAAAATCGAAGATAAAAACTGAAAAGTTTTGAACGTTTATGGAGCTTCGTTTGTAGAGTTCATTCAAAGAGATAAATCGAATGGCAATTAAATACAAATTGATCACATTCCTCGTCTGGTCAAAGTAGTATTACGATTTTGTAGGCATTTTAATCGTTGGAATGAGAAATGAAAAATAAAAAAAGATAAAGATAAAAATAAAAGGAAAAGAAAAAGAAAAAAGAAGAAAGAAAAAATGAATAATTAATAATTAATGAAATTATTTATGATGAAATTTATATTTTCTTATAGATGATACATCCATGCCTCTTTGTATCGTTAACAATATTCAATACGGAAAAACGTGAAATATCTGAAAAGGAAAAGAAATAAAATAACACTATGTAATGTTTACTCACAATATTGAGTAATGCCAGAACGTATTGTTGAACACGTGGACCGTGAAACTCAATGACGGAATAATCTACAGCAATCGCAACCTCCAACCATCGTCGTGGCAGTTGTTTCCTTTCTACGTCAATGGGTTATAATAAAATATCGTTATAATTATTTGTAACGCAATTATATGAAACATAGTGATATTTATTAAACCATCTTGATATTGGAATTTTCAATCGACTAATTTCAATGAAGTGATAATTGAAACGACGTTATAAAATGCCGCATATTAATTGTTTCCCACAAAAGAATGAATTTTATATAGGTCGATTATTCAAACAACCATTTAATTAATTAATTAATTAATTAATTAATTAATTAATTAATTAATTAATTTTTTGATTGATTAATTAAGTAATTAATTATGTTGTGGAAAACAAAGTGCAAGAAAAGAGAGAGAGAGAGAGAGAGAGAGAATGAGAGTGAGAAAAAAAGAAAGAGAAAAAAAAGGGAAAAAGTTTCATATACTCGGTACTTTGCTTCTGCTCCAAGATGGATTAGAAAAATAACCGACATCTTCGGGATCATTTTTTTGTGACAATCGTTCGATCATAACGTCCTCATCCTTTTTCAAGAAATCCTCATTATCCCCAACACCGAGATCAAAATTTTCCATATCAAAGACATCTCCGGTGAGATTATAAAATCCATTATTACTTTTAATGTTTGGAATTTCTCGTTTCAATCGTCTTGTAAAATTTCTTGATTCATCCTTTTTCTTGGTATAATACAAAGGGAAAATTTCGATCGATGGACCAAAATCTGAAAGAAGAAAAAATAATTTTAAGGAGGAAAAAAAAAGTTAGGTAGAAAGAGAGAGAGTCAGACTAAGAGAGAGAGAGAGAGAGAGAGAGAGAGAGAGAGAGAGAGAAATCCTTCGATCCTGTACGGAGTAATACGATTTATATTTACGTTGTAAATAGACATCATAATGAAATGTATATACATTCCTACGAATGTATTTGTATATAAAGTGAAAGAGAAGATAGAGAGAGAGAGAGAGAGAGAGAGAGAGAGAGGGAGAGAGAGAGAAATGATAAAAAGAAAGAGAAGGAAAGAGAGAGAGAGAGAGAGAGGGAAGTGAGAAAAAGAGAAAGAGAGAGAGAGAGATAGGAACTGGGTCATAGCACATGTTTGTCGTAGCATGGCAGGTGGAGAGGATCTATAACGTTTTACTAAGAATACAAGAGCTACTGGTGGACACGTATAGGACGTAGCATACAAATGTTAATACCGATGCAACGTTGGGAAACTATATAAACACTCGATCTTTCGTTCGAATCTATCTGCAACAATTCCTAGATACGTTAACGTGGGTGTGCCGGTATATTATAGGGGAATGTCAATTGAAATAACGTTTTAACTTTTTCTTTTTTTTCTCTCTTTCTCTCTCTTTCTCTCTCTCTCTCTCTCTCTCTCTCTCTCTCTCTCTCTCTCTCTCTCTCTCTTTATAACATGCATATAACTTTGAAATTAAAAAACTTTTATATAACTACACATATATATATATGTACATATATATGTATTGTTAAGATTTTATTTAATTTTTTTCATTGTAAAATAAATTATTAATACATATCCAAAGATTAATATTTATTGAATCTACGTTAGAGTATTTATACTGTAAATTATAAATATATATATATATTATAGAAATGTTCTTTTAATAATTAAAACGAAAGATATTTTTTAATGAATGAATATGAATAAAATCTTTATAACGTTACGCTCGTTTGTAATAGCTGTTTCAAAAGTACATTCGTATTAAAAATGTTTTCTTACTTCTCGACGATTTCCTCGATGACGACCACCATCCGGTATTATTCGATTCGTAAAATATATGCCGGCCATTTGTCAATGGTTCAATGAAGTAGGATCTACCGTCGACAATGACAAATCCATAAATTTCATCCAAACAAATCGTTAGAACAACAGACGAAATATTTTCATTGTTTTCGACGATTCCATGTCTTAGATCACAGTCGAAATTTTTATTGAAATATTTTCCTCCTCGTGAATGAAGATCCTTCGAAAGTATTAATCGATCATTGATCGTAGTTCTCAACGTCCAATTTTTAATAATAACGTTGATCGTCGTTTCCTCCTGTAGATTCCTCGAATGATTTTCGAATGGTAATCGATGATCACGTAACGATGAGGATAGATTATCCGTTATTATTCTCGGATAAATGATCTCATATTCGATGAAACTTTGAATGAGCTCGTCGACGCGCGATTTACAGGCTATCGTACCGAGCAACCAGGTCGTTACTAGTAAACTCGAGAGTTTCGATTGTGGCATGCTTGCACCTTGTCACATTAATTAAATTCCGTACGGTTGCTTTCGCACAGACTCGCTCTCTCTCTCTCTCTCCTTCTCTCTCTTTCTCTCTCTTTCTCTCTCTTTCTCTCCCTCTATCTCTATCTCTATCTCTCTCCGTGGCACTTGAAACGCATGATAAAATTTTACGTATACCTATACACCCACGAGAAAGAGAAAGAGAGAAAAAGAGAGAGAAAGAGAAAGAGAGAGAGAGAAAAAAAGAGAGAATAAGAGAGAAACATAGAAAATCAGAATTTATACGGGCAAATCGTTTTTCCACTGGCTAAACGCTCGCGCGTTATGTCGGAAACACTCGAACGTTTAATAATTTCAACTACACTCCTTTCGCCACTCGACTCTTTATACGCTCGCACTCGTTAAACTTTGGCCGAAGTACTAGTTGTTGAATAAAGCGAATTACGGTGAATATTAACGAGCGTGTACCAACGACATCGAATAGTATGTATTATATACACACACACACATACTCACATATATATGTATATATATGTATATATATATAAAGTCAGTCAATTTTACAAAACGTTAACACATACGAATAGAATGACTTTGACGGCAATGACAACAACTGACACTGGATGACAATGAATGATACGATATGACGTATCAGATCTATCAAATCTTAACGGGTGAAATCATTCTTCGTTAAAATTGTTCTCGGTAGAGGAAACAAGTGGAGTCATGGATCATATAGGATATTCTTTCAATAGTTTTTCAAACGATTTCAATGGAAAATCTCCGGATATAATTTATGGGAGGGGAAAAAATAAATAAAAAAAAAAAATAAATAAAAAAAAATAAAGCGAGAGAAAGAGAGAGAGATATAGGAAATCGTAATTTGTGAAAACTACGACTTGGAAACATCGCTGGATTAAACTAAAGGAGGAAATTCTTTCTAATTAAGGTCTAATCAAAAGTGCATTCGTTTGGTACGCGGTACGCGTTGCAACTGGCGAGCACATGGACGAGGAAAACGACGAAAGCACGCGCCCACGAGAAAGAGAGAGAGAGAGAGAGAGAGAGAGAGAGAAAGGGAGAGATAGAGAGGGAGAGAGAAAGAAAGAGAGAAAGAAAGAGAAAAAGACAGAAACAGAGAAAAGAAAAAGACAGAAGACGAGACAGAGAAGGACGAGCGAGCCGGATATTCTGCGAAGCCGAGAACGCATCGCATCGACGAATGCAAACGCATCGTTGCGGGGCTAGAAAAAGCACACCAGTCAAGTACTTGGCAACCGGCACAAGTTCTAATAATGGCGGCTTTATGTCCAACGTAAGTACTCTCTTCTCCGATCTTCCACTGACAAACTGTCTCTTTTCGAATTTATCGAATCTCAAGGAATTCTCTATCTATATTGCCATATCGACCACCTGCGACATGAACTAACTCAGCAAGTAATTGTTTTACAGGTTCGACGATAATTAGATTGTTACGTCAATGTATACGATAATAACAATTTCACGAATAAAGAATTATTCTTTATATAATTATCATTTGTATACGTATATATATATATATATACGTTTAATACCAATATCATTGCAAATGACTGTAAATGGAAAATTGTTAACTAAAAAATTAAAATTTCATCAACCGATGGATGAAAACTGTTCGAACTGACTGTAAGGTAGATCTCTAAAATTATGTAAATTCACGGGAAAATTCTAGATCATCTATCTTCCAAGAAGATCATGATATTCGTCTCGTATTACGGACCGAAAACGAACGAGTAAACTACTTACGGAAGTTATTTCTCTTTTAACATCTTTGAAATATTTAGTAACTATAAATAAGGATAGGATTTTTTTATTAGTTCGAATGAAATAAAAAGAGAAGTCGTGAGTAAAACTTAATATTTTTTAATATTATATCAATAATGTCACGATGGATACATGGTAATTGTTAATACGATTTGAAGTATAAGAGCTAAAACGAAATTGATTTTTTTCATCGTAAGATCATTGGCAGTTCCGGTTCCGGTATTGCACAAAGATTTATCACAACAGGCGGTGCAAGCGTAAAGTTTCGTTCTTTCACCGATAACGATGCAACCGGGCTCACATTTGCTCGTACAATTTCTTTCCAACGACCATAATTGAGGACTGGAAGTCGAATTTTCTGTACTCGTCGTATAAGAAAATCGCTTCACCTGTAAAAAGAAACAAAAAAGAGAAGAGAAAAAAGAAAGAAAACTCGATTGAACAAATCATATTTGTTTAAAATTTTATATATTTATATATATATATATATATATCATTCTTTTTTTTATGTTGATTCAAAAAAAAGATCATTTTGTATTTATATCATATTTTTATTAATTCAATTATATTTTAATTTCTTTTCTTTTTTTATATATAAAATGTCAATATCGTAACATTTTATTATTTATATTTTGATATTTTATTGAGATTCAGATACGTTCATTAATTTATTTATTTTTTTTTTTTTTTTATTAGTCTTTCTTCTTTTTTATAATATTAAATTCCTTACCATGCAAATTCTTTTATCGTCCTGACACTTTTGAATAAAGGAACTGTGATTAGTGGAAAGATCGGAACACAAATCCCCATCAGGCATGGTACTGCATTGATAACACCATAAATCGTTTGGCCGTTCGGAAGCAGCATGAGTTCGATGTTCTTTCGTCATAAATTGACCTGCTTATCGAAGGAAAACTTATTACGTATGTATATCGTACACTTGATGAAATCATGTTAAGGTTAATAGTGCTAACATAAAATCTCGTTTATTAGATCGACATTTGAATGAAGATTGATGTAAGAATATAATAGAGAACAATTGTTAGATATCATATGTCTTTCTGCAAATATCACGTATATTGCATATAATCAATTAATTGTGTTATCGATGACAATATAATTTATTATGATAAATAATTTTAAATGAACGAACAACGAGAGAACTACGTTAATCGAAATGTAAAGAAAAAGGGAGAAAATTAAAATAAAATAATACTCACACACACACACACACACACACACACACATATACATATATAATTTTGAATTAAACTAAAATTTTTAACGCGCAAAAGTAAACAGGCAAAGGCATAGAAGGGTCACATGGAAAGTATTAAAGGCACGTAAGCATGCATATACGTTATGTTTGTTTTAAATATATACAGGCAATAATCGTTGCTAAATAATCCGCTTGATGTCATCCAGAAGGATATATAATAAAGAATATAAGGTCCCATTTAGAAAATGTAAACGCGATCTTATCATAAATCACTACGAGGCCATTGAAAAAATCAAATAATTATCACTACGATGGTATTTCAATATTCGTTTTTTTTTTTTCTTTTTTCATGCTTTTCTTTTTATTTTTCTTTTTCGTTTTATTTTCTAATACTTAGAAAAATAATCGCGTGTATACGTATAAATCGGACATAGTTTATATACATGTACAAACACATACATAAACAAGGGAAGATAAGAAGATGGTAGATAAGAAGAAATACATAATCCATCACTTACCATCAGAGAGGACGATCGAAGTTATGATCAGGAAGCACACAAAGCTGACACGAATATCTTCAATCATTTTCGAAGCAATTGAAACACCTGATATGTATACTTATGTATATATATATGTATGTACATATATATATATATGTGTGTATGTGTGTACGGGTGCGTGTGTATGTGTATATGTATTATATTAATTCGAATTAAAAACCGATCGTAAAATCATCGCGTTTATGGAAAAAATAAAGAAGAAAAAAAAGAAAAAATTGAAAAAGACTGATGATCCGTCGACATTTTCCTTCGGAATTTTCTATATACGTATTAGAGAAATGGCACAAAGGACGATGGTAAATTCTAGTAGATGAAGAATGACAGACAATGGAAAAGAAAGAGGGAGAGAGATGGAATACTCTTGACTCGAGAATGGTAGACTCTTTTTCGCGGAATTTCGTCATGGCGACGACGCTCTCGCGACGCTCGCGACGCTCCGTGACCACACGGAATCTTCGTGAGTCGGTGGCACGACCTCAGAGTTTGCGCACTGCACGTGTCGCTCCAGAAACCTGGAAACGTTGAAAATCGATAATCCTGCGAAAAGGTCCCTGTCCCTTTCGTCGTAGTTGTTGTCGTCGTCATCGTCGTATGTTGACGTCAGAACCGTCGTACAAGCAGAATAAAATTAATTATGAATTTTAAACGTTTTTTCATTTTCTTTTTCTCTTTTATTTATTTATTTGTTTGTTTGTTTGTTTATTTCTTTAATTTTTTTTCCCATCAATAGTTCAATATTATTCTAATTGATTTGTAAAGAAAAAATGAAGGGTAATACATAGGATACTTATTTTTCTGATGAAAGGAAGAAAGATAGAAAAAAGAAAAGAAACAAAATCTATTTATCTCGTAATAATAATAATTATTTCCAAATGATTGACTCTTTAATTAATTCGAATAAAAGATACGAGATAATTCGGATTAACGTGTGTCCGTTCGATCGAAATAAATCGATTTTTCATTGAGGAATATAATATCCAATGAGGGAAAAATGAAATGAACCCGTGAAATAAATTTACCGACATTTTATCGAGAACAACGATAAAGAGTTGCTTGTTGTCTGTCTTAAACGGATCTGTTTGCTCGAGCGTTTCGTTGTTACTTGTGTATGTTTTCCTGTTCCCAAAATTTAGAACGTATCTCTCTGCTCTAGATGCAACAATTATCAATCTCTTAACATTCAGCCACTCGATAAATTGTCGACAATTTCGATCATGAAATCAAAATATTTATGTAAATATTCTAACAATTATATTATTATTATTATTATTATTATTATTATTATTATTTTTCTTTTTTGACAGCAATTAATTTTATACATTGATATAGGATGTATTTCTATTTTATTATTCATATTATTACACATAATTGGACTCATTAGCTACAGTATCATGAATCATTAATGATGAATAACCATTGCGATTGGTAATCCAAAATATCACGACTAATGTCTGAAATAATAACTTTTCAAATTTCTTTAACGTAAAGTATATATCAAATAAATTACGAATAAAAGAAAAAATATAAAATGTTGAAGTTTCTCTATATTCCTAGAAACGTTCATTCTTTCTTCTGTAAAGCAAAAGCATCAAAAAGAAAAAAGAAAAATCATCGTTTTTAGGATCCATCTTTACGTTTCAAAATGTTCTAATTATAAAATGTTCTAAAATGTTCTAAAAGTTTGTTTGAGTATTTTGACAAATCAATATCTCGATTGTCTGGCTTTCATGTAATCGGTTCTTCGATTAATTGAAGTTTGAATGATCCATTATATTAGTTATTAGATATCACACAATTACATCAATTCAAATATCTATATTTTGATGACATCTCAGAAATAATTTCATTGACATATCTTTTATTTATTTCATTAAAGTTGGAAATAAAGTGAGAACGAATTAATTTTTAATACTTCATTTTATCGGCGAATTTTTTTTTCATCCAAAGATGATAAATAAAAATCGTTCATCTTCTAAAGTAAATAATTTGCAAAATTCGATTATTTAAAACATTTTTAGATGCAAATGATTTTTATCCATATATATATATACATATATATATATATATACGTATTTTATTATTTTATTAAAGAGTTAAACAAGCAATCATTTGTTATCTTGGCGTAGTTTTGTTAATTAGGTCTCTGAGCCATTAAGTCTTCCCTGTGCCGAGGATATCAAAGAGCTACCAGTCGCACAAAAGTATCAGTTATAACTTTTCATCGATCATTCCGCTTTTGTGAGACGTTACCTACACGTTCCGCAAAGGTGAATAACCGTAGGAAAATCGATTTCAAGTCGTTCAAACAATCGGCGGTACAACTGCTTTCTCTCTCACGAAGCTCTCTTACTACTTTGAAATTACTGCAACAATTCCAAGTATGTATTTGTCTTCTTTCTTCCTCTTTCTTTTCTCTCTCTTTCTCTTTCTCTCTCTCTCTCTCCTAGTTTCTCAGTTCAGCAAATAAATTATATCAGCAAATAATTTATCGATTGTCAATAAGATCGTACGATCTTATAAAACATATTATCTTTAATAATAATATTTAAAAATAAATTTTGAATGT